TGCATAGACTGTACTTTATGCTCTGCGGGGAGTAACTGGTTATGGCAGGAGCTAGTGGAAAAAGGCTCAAGATTGTGATACTGTAGACCAGCAGGAGGAAGCTGACAGCCTATGTACTTTGTTATTTGACCTGTACAGTGACATATATTTTATTTATTTGCATTTGAATGCCTTTAGAGGAAACCTGGCACTCCCTTTGGCCAAGTGTAGATTCCCTATCAGTTCAGTTGCCACACTTCCAGCCTGGTCCCTGCGGGGCCTAATTTAAATATGAATTCCTGTAGTAGACACTTCTATGTTAAAACAGGGTTTATCTAGTTCTGAAAAGAAACTGATGATGACTTTCCTCTTTGATGCCATTACTGTGCATGAAAAGGTTTTTACAGCTTTAAAAAAACAGGTAAACTTTCCTGTTTCCTTTCTGTAGAAGCTGAATCCCACAAAAGGACTTAAAACCATTCTTCTAACCTTAGTTCCTTTAAGACTCAATCAGATTGAATTTGCTGAGGATTATGAAGTCTGATTTCCAGTACCCTACTGTTGGAACACATGCCCTCCCCCCATTTCCCCAGTTTGGAAATATATGCACATACATACACACTCTCCCATCCCCAACACTGAAAATATTTTCTTGACTAGACAAATCCTGTTCACCGTTACAGATAGAAAGTTAAATTGTATGAATTAATTTGTCAACTACCTCTACTAGGTAAAGGTGAATGTATTAGTTGATATAAATACAAACAGATTTTCCTTCCATTTTAATGGACAACTCTACTGCATTCTTGAAGACTTACCACCGAAGAGCTCACAAGGACATAAGATGGAAAGACTATGGCTAAAATCACCCTTTTATGTTTATTCCCCAAAATATGAACACATGGATACTACACAGTAAATTACATTTTTCATTTGTTTAATTGCAGTTTTGGATTCTAAATAGCATTAACATTGTTTTAAAAGGTTAATCAATGTCTATTAAAATATCCCAAATATAATTAAATAGTCTCAAAACTCATTAATGCAAATGAGTTGACAGTAAACACCAGTGCATTTACAGCTAACTTACAAATAGCTAAATAAGTAAAGAATTGCTATTTCAATATTAATTATTCATTCAAAGTAATTCCTTAGAAAAATCGGTTCCCAATTCTAGTTGTGTCTAAACTTGAAAAGGATAACCTTATGATGAAGAATGATAATATCAATTATGATCCAAATATATATATAGATGATCTAAGCATATATACATGCTTATTTTTGTTACATAAAGTAAGTCACATTAAACATTACCAGCAGATTCATATTTAAAATGCAAAAAATCACTTATCTAGATTTATATTGCATTGCATTTTGCTTCTATTTGCAAGTTTCAAAGTGCATATATGCATTTTTGCATTTGTATGTACACATGTATGTATAAATTGATCCTGCCTTTTGCAAACTAAGAATCTCTTCTTAAATTAATGTATGTTTTAGGCAGGTTATCCAGAAAAAGGAACTTAAAGAAATGCATAGCTTAATAATTTGGAATTTACTCTTGAATAAGAACAATATTGTATATAATATTTCTTGGGTGCGAAATGTATGCTTAAGCATGGATGATCAGGCCACTGAAAACTATCTTATTTTAGTAATATATCTATCTTAGTAATACGTTAAAGTTTCTACCCATCTAATTGATGGTGATTATGTTTGCATATATATATGTG